CACCCTCCCCCCACTCCTCCAGGCGGTCACAGAGCCCCGAGCTCATCTCCCTCCACAGGATTCTTGAGGTTTGTTTATCCCTCTTCAAAGAGTCCTCTGAATATGACATAAAGAAAAGCTGGACATTTTATTAAATTTCCTCATTGTCTCCATTTCTCCTATTGCATTAAAAAAGGAAGAATTTTTCTCTTATTTGTTTGCTTCGTTTCCCTCAAGCAGGCTTGCAGTTTGCTGCCAGCCAGTGTTGAGTTCTGAGTCACAGAGGGAATTGCTGTTCCAGCTGATTTCTCTGTGAACTTCCTGTCGTCTAGAGGAGGGAAGGCTGGGGCTGCTTTGTTTTGTGCACAGTTGCTTGGCTGCCTAAATGCCTCCTTTATCTTTGGATAGGATGAAACTGATTCCAAGACGGCCTCCCCGTGGAAGGTAAGAGCTCCTGTGCAAATGATTATTTCCAGAGGTTTTCCAGGAACAGAAATACTTTACGTCCTTTTCTGGCGTGCCTGTTATCTGAGTATTTCGGCTTGTCTGAGCCTGTGGTGGTTTCTGGACTTGTTTGGCCTGGTGTCTTTCTGACCCTGGTGTTGTATTCTTGGAATCTGTCATGCCTTGAAATGTGGTGCTTAATACACAGAAGCAAAATGTCTCCCTGCAGATGCTCAGCACAAATTCAGTTAGGTCGAGTTTATCATGCACTGTCGCTGCCAGGGTATACAGTTGGCCCTCCACATCCGTGGCTCCACATCCTCGGATTCAACCAACCAACAATTGAAAATACTAGCATCCGATCCATGGTTGGTTGAATCCAAGGATGCAGAACCCGCCCATACAGGGCGCCGGCTCCAAGGGACTTGAGCATCTGTGGATTTTAGGACCTCGGGGGGTCCTAGGATCATTCCCTGTCGGGTACCAAGGTTACAGGGGTGACTGCAGTTCACAGAGGTCACACTGCATAGTCAGGCATGGTCCCACCAATAGGACTACAGCCCAAAGGACACATGATGTGAGGATGAAAAGGAGCGTAAGTTCCTCTCGTCGTCTGCCTGACCGCTTCCTCCCGGGGCCTAAGAAAGGCTTGAGAGAAGGTCCACATCCTGACGAGACACATAAAGGGGGGACACCAGATGTTTACCAGCTGCAGTGGACATTATTCCAGAGAGATCCAGGGGTGGTGCTTGACCAGGGTGGGCATAACTTCCAGGAGGACAGTGGATAAGCTTTTTCATGTGAAGCGTTTATAGCCGTGATTATGGAACTAGTTGCCTAAATGCAAATTCTAGCATCTTTCCTCCTGACCCAGCTCTTCAGGAATATGCCACTTGAGTTAGAGACAAGCTAGAAAGAGCAGATTTCTACTTTATGAAAGTATACCTTCCTAAAATCTGAAGAAAGCATGAAAACCTAAAAACAAAAAGTCTCCCCGCACCGGACCCTAGGTTGGTGCTTCTCAGCCCTGTCATGAGGTCTGACCTGTTGTGAGGACCTAGGCTGAAAGGGGTTTGTTTCTTTGGCCTCCTTGTCCCTCCAGGCTCTGACCATTCTGCTTATTAAATAGGCTCCAAATTGGCAGGAAGGGTACATTTTTCCTTGGATTCAGCTTTCTCCTCTCTTCTCAATCTTAATTTTCATTGAATAGCAAAATTCAATCATTGGTGACATGAATGAGCAGCACCCTTACCTGTCTGATCTCCTGCCAGAGTTTCTCTGGTAACAGGTATGTTTTCAGAAACGTGCTTCAGATGACTCCACAAACACCAGTCAGTACCTCCTGTTTCTGAAAAGGATTCGAAACAACGGGTGTCTGCTTTCCAAACCCTGTACGCACCGACACTGGTTGAACATGTCACTGGGTGTGTCACAGGAACATCCTAGGAGCCTAACTTCCCTGCGTCCAAGCTCAGCTCCTCCTTTTCTTTACATACTTGAAGATTATGAGCATCACAGTGCCTGCCAAGTAGGGTTTCTTTCCGATAAAAGCAGGTGGGCTCTGAGACCCCAAGGGGCATTTGATTTTTAGAAGTGACTACGTTGATGAGAAGAAAGCTAACTCGCCAGCGTATTTTCTTTTTCATCTAGTAAGGCTGTTGCCCTTAGTTCAAGGGGGATTCTGTTAGAAGGAACCACAGTCCAGTAACCATAAACAGAAAATGAAATTAGTGGTGTCCTTGACTATTTAAATAGTCCCAGCCGCCAGCATTTGTTCAACTAAGTGTGTTTTCTGGACTGTTCTGTAGTAGGGACAAGAAAAAGACACCAGTCAGTAGTCTTTGAGCCTTTTTTTTCCTGTCCGACCAGCCGTTTTAATTGTGGTTTTCACCGCTCTTTTCACTCTTGGAGTAAAATGAATCACTGAGTTGGGTGTGATTGTGCACTTGGGTTTCTGCCTGACTTTCTAGTTGTTGATACTCTCATTGCTGCTCTGCTCAGAAATTTGATGGTATCCTTTTACAATCATTTTGGTGGACATTTGGAACCTAATTAATAGCACTTGCACCCCAGATTTCTCTCTTAATCAGCAGACACTTGATTAGTTTGCTCTTCTGCTTTCCTCCCCACATAGTCTGCTCGCCTGATGGTTCACACCGTGGCCACCTTTAATTCCATCAAGGTAAGAAACCATGGCAGCTTTCCTTGTCTTCCCTGGTCTCCTTCGTTGTCTCCTCCTGTCTTCAGCAAGGCTCTTGTCCTAATTAGTTGTGTGAACTGTAGCACTTGTCACTCTCCTGGGCCCGAGGGTGTCCTGGCCAGGACTCTCTCTACTCTCTTCGTGCAGCAGGAGGCTGTGCTCAGCTTGCCTGGTCCTGGCAGTGAGCCTGGTGAGCTCCTTCCTTCTCCCCCAGGAGGGCCCGGAGCTGCGAGGAGCGTATTGTTGGAAGGCAGTGACTGCCTTTCTTGCCTCCTTTCTGGACCCCGAGCTGGCTTGTCTCCCCAGTACAAGGTCCTGCAGCTGCGCTGTACTCCTTGGGCTGCTGCTGCTGTCCGGCGATGCAGCCGTGCGGGGTGTTGGGGAGCAGTAGACTTGGGGATTTGTCCACTCGGTGGTTGTTAGGAAGCAGTTGCTCTGAGGCAGGCACCAGGCTAGGCGCTGAGAGTGAAGATAAGTCAGCGGCGTCTCTCCTGCTGCTTCCGCGGTGATTCCAAGTCAGGTGTTGGTGGAGTGTTCGTGCCGTGGCGTCCGGCGAGCTGTGGCAGGGTCTGGCTTTCTGGACTTTTGCTGTCGTGGCGTGCTCATCGACTGAACTAGGAAGCTTGGAAACAGGAAATCATCTGTGCCCCAGCCTTTCCTTTCACGTTAAGCCACCATTCCTCTGGTTCTGGCCCTTTTCCCAGAGTCTGGTGTGGCTAACGCTTTGCTGTCCTCCCTCAGGAGCTGAATGAACGCTGGCGGTCCCTGCAGCAGCTGGCCGAGGAGCGGAGCCAGATCCTGGGCAGCGCCCACGAAGTGCAGAGGTTCCACAGGTGAGGGACGGCCGGGGCTGGCAGAGGGGGAGCAGGCCACAGTTGGGTTCATGCCGACGGTAACGGCTGGCTCTTGTCGATGGTTGTGCTCTGGCACCTGGTGGGCGCTCTCAGTCAGTAACGCTGAGCGGATCAATATGTGTTCCTTGCTGTTTAGAGCTGTTGGTGGGCCACTGACACATGTGCTGGTGCCAGTGAAATGAAGTTTCCCTACTTGACCTGAGCTTAAGGCAGCCGTACTCAGCACTCATTAACTTGAACGTGTGTCCCACCTACAGAGATGCCGACGAAACCAAAGAGTGGATCGAAGAGAAGAACCAGGCTCTAAACACAGACAATTATGGCCACGACCTGGCCAGTGTCCAGGCCCTGCAGCGCAAGCACGAGGGCTTTGAGAGGGACCTCGCGGCCCTCGGCGACAAGGTGAGAGGACGTGCGTGTGGAGCCGACTTCCTGCGATTCTGCCCGAGGCTGTGCTCCCTCCTTCCCTGCTGCTCACCGCTTTCTTCCCCAGGTGAATTCCCTTGGGGAAACGGCCGAGCGCCTGATCCAGTCCCACCCCGAGTCGGCAGAGGACCTGCAGGAGAAGTGCACCGAGTTGAACCAGGCATGGAGCAGCCTGGGCAAGCGCGCCGACCAGCGCAAGGCCAAGCTGGGCGATTCCCACGACCTGCAGCGCTTCCTCAGCGACTTCCGGTAAGAAGCCGGCTCGCTGGCTCTGGGCCAGAGGCCTTTCTAGCTGGATTAAATGCATTCCTGGATCTAGCACTTAGAAGGCTTAATCCTGGGAATTCCGTGGAGGCCCAGTGGTTAGGACTTGGTACTTTCACTGCTGGGGGTCCGTGTTCAATCACTGGTTGGGGAACTGAGATCCCACGAGCCACACAGCAAAAAAAAAAAAAAACCAAAAACTTAATCCTAAAGAAAAGCATTTGCGTTTGAAGCTGTAGGAAACTTAACCACAGCTACTGTCTCTAAGAACCTGTTATTCTGTAGGGTGAGAAGATCTTAGTTATAAACCTGTTCATTCTTCCTCTGAGGAATTCTTGAGTTGTTCTTTTCTTATTATTTCAATAAGACAAGCAAGAAGCTTTGAAATACTTTGCCTGGAGTTCTAGCCCCATTCAGTAGATTAACTAGATTAACCCCAAATAGCCCTCTGAGATAAGAATTATGTAGTTCTCTCTTTTCCTGGGCAGAAGGCCTGCTTGCCAGGTAGCGTAATAGCCATTCCTCTGTGGATCTGGTTTCCAGGGACCTCATGTCTTGGATCAATGGAATCCGAGGGTTGGTGTCCTCAGACGAGCTAGCCAAGGATGTCACCGGAGCCGAGGCCCTGCTGGAACGACACCAGGTAGGTGGGCCCGCTGAGCAGCGGAGACGTGGCTGCCCTGCCAGGCTGGGAGGGCCTTTGCAGCTGACGTGAGAGTGGGCAGCTCCTGCCGGTACCTAATCTCTTCCCTCCTCTTGGCAGGAGCACCGGACGGAAATTGACGCCAGGGCTGGCACTTTCCAGGCATTCGAGCAGTTTGGGCAGCAGCTGTTGGCCCATGGGCACTACGCCAGCCCCGAGATCAAGGAGAAACTACATATTCTAGATCAGGAGCGTGCAGACCTGGAGAAGGCCTGGGTGCAGCGCAGGATGATGTTGGATCAGTGCCTTGAATTGCAGGTACATGTGCTGGACAGTAGCTTCCTGTTCGCTGCAGGGTTTCTGACCAGGTGTCTCATCGCCCCAGGCTCTGTCTTCTCACCTGCCTGTCCCCTCTTTAGCTGTTCCATCGGGACTGCGAGCAGGCCGAGAGCTGGATGGCTGCCCGGGAGGCCTTCCTGAGTACCGAAGACAAAGGGGACTCGCTGGACAGCGTGGAGGCTCTGATCAAAAAACATGAGGACTTTGACAAAGCCATTAACGTCCAGGTGAGGCCTTTGTACCTTTCCAGGTTGACATCTTCTGTCTCTCTGTTGGTGTATTCTCCTTTCCCTTCTCAGTGACGAGAGAAAAAAAATAGTTATTGTTTGCTTAACTCAGCTGCAGAGTTTTGGCAGCATCCTCAAATTAACATACTTGGTGTTGACTACAGAGGAAGCAGTGTAGTCCCCATCGGGTCCAGTGCAGAGCTGTGCAGTCTAGGAAAAGTGACATATGTTAATAGTTTTTTAAACTTTATATATAAATTCTGGCACTTCTGAGGTTTTGTTTGTTGGTTTGAGGCATGCTTATAAAAATGTTCATATTATCCAATTTGTGTCTTTTTTTAATGTTATTTATTTATTTTTGGCTGCCTTGGGTCTTTGTTGATGCACACGGGCTTTCTCTAGTTGCTGAGAGTGGGGGGCTACTCTTCGTTGTGGTGCGCGGGCTTCTCACTGTGGTGGCTTCTCTCGTTGTGGAGCACGGGCTCTCGGCGAGTGGGCTTCAGAGGTTGTGGCGCACGGGCTTAGTTGCTCCGCCGCACGTGGAATCTTCCGGGACCAGAGCTCGAAACCGTGTCCCCTGCATTGGCAGGCGGATTCTTAACCACTGCGCCACCAGGGAAGTCCCATTTCTGAGGTTTTAATAACAGAGATGCCACAGGGAAAAAATTTTTTACCGAAAGGGAAGAAAAACAAACTTACGGGTAGGTAAGTGAATCCATGAACGTAAACCAGAAAGATGCAAAACTCCTTGGCTTAGAAACCATTTTGTTGAAAATCGGATAATGTTTTCTTATGAAACCCAGTCTTGTAGGTGACGTCTGCTGGTGCTCAAGCCCCGGCCCCACCCCAGCGTGACCTGGAATCTTCTTGAGTTAAACTCTACTCTAATAATGATTGAAATCAAGCTTTCCTCTGGCTTTTTACACTCCTGCTTCTAGAGTGTCAGTGTATTCTGATCCCATCACCAGCTAGTCACCCAAAATAACCGTTCTCTTCTCGAGACCTGCAGTCCAGGCGAGGCGGAGTCATCTTGGCCGCCTTGACCTCGCGCCTCTGTTTGCCGACAGGAGGAGAAGATCGCCGCCCTGCAGTCCTTTGCCGACCAGCTCATCGCCGGCGGCCACTACGCCAAAGGTGACGTCTCCAGCCGGCGTAATGAGGTTCTGGACAGGTGGGTGGTCTGTGTAGCCGACGGGTCTTGCCGCCCTTGTGTGAGCGGCCCAGCCTGTCTAGTTCTGTGGGGTGCTCACCTTTGCTCTCGGTTTCACTTTCTCAGGTGGCGACGTCTGAAAGCCCAGATGATTGAGAAAAGGTCAAAGCTGGGAGAATCGCAGACTCTCCAACAGTTCAGCCGGGATGTGGATGAGATTGAGGCTTGGATCAGCGAAAAATTACAGACTGCAAGTGATGAGTCATATAAGGACCCTACCAACATCCAGGTGAGCTGAACAGATTAGCTGTTTATCTCCTAAGTAGCCTGTGTTATTGAGTAGATCTTGTTAAAGTAAGGTATCTTTAAAAGAGGGAGATACCTCTAAGACAGCTTCCTCGTACCCCCAGTGATGCCAAGAAAAAGTATTTTAATAAGATGAACCGGTGGGAAAGCCTCACTTAAATGATGAGAGCCATTTCAGAAGCCGCTTACCTCATTTGCCTCTGTTGAAACCATGTCTGCTATTAAAGAGCCTGCAGAAAAGCCCCCCTTGTATTTGCTGTTCCTGAATGCTCACCTTCCCAGGGAAGTATGACGGCAAAATGAGTTTCTGTTGAATAGCTGATATGCATAGTCACATAAGTGTACTGAACTCTTGTTATTTTAATCTATTTTTGTAGCTTTCCAAGCTGCTGGTAAGTTTTATGTTTTTTTTTAAGAGTTCTAGTTAAACGAGCTCCAGTGTTTGTGCTCTTGTGTGTAGATTCTCGCAATTGTAGATTCTGCCGGTGTCTCCTCATCCACGCTTTTCATTTCTAATCATCCATCAGCCTCCATTCAAGTGTCCCCGTGGGATGTGGCTTTCTCTGTTGTAATTAGCCTGCAACCCTTTGCTCCCCCTCTCCCCTCCTAATTTATCACTTAGGCAAGTTGTGTACAGTGTTTGGTCTGGGGGGCAGTAGTTGACTGCTTTCGTATAAGAGGTGTGCTTCTTTTAAAAAAATGAAATAGCTTTTTCTGTGTAAACTTCGGTTCCTCTTGCTCTGGGCTCGTGGCTCTCGGTGGACTAGGGCAGGGCCAGGTTTCGTTGCCCACGCAGTCTGGCATCCAGAAGTGCTGGTCACTGGAGAGGGACAGCTAGAGATCCACAGAGAGGCAGGTGATCTTCCTGAGTCTAAGAGGACCTGGGGGTGAGAGGTTAAGATAAAAGTGAACATCACCCAAGGGGCAGTGAAAGAGACTTTCTAGTCAAAATGTAGCTTAGAAGTTGCCTAAGTGGATGGAAGAAATGAAGAAATAGAGTGGATGGGAATTGAGCCAAAGAACGATCAGAACAAGAAACAGAAGAGGGGCTTTTGTCAGGATGCCTGGGCATTTGAGACTCTTTCTGTCTCTGTGGTTGGGCTTTGGGCGCAGAGCTGGTGTAGGGACGCTTAATGTTGGTGCTGCGTTTCGCCAGCCACGTGGCTCCATCTTTTGACAGTTGCTGCCGCTGAAATGAAACATTTGATGCAGAATCCTTCCCCAGTTGTACTGCTTTTTTCCTTTTAGTTCTTTTTTCCCCATATCACATTCTTGCCTGCAACCCCGCATTTCTCACCCAGAACTGCCCCACAGCTGCGTCCTCCCACTTGTCTCCCGTGGTGCCCCCCAGCCTCAGATGCCCATCATCCTCCCAGCCCTCTCTTCTAGCAAAAAGAAATTCTTAACCTACAGTCAAGCCTGGATTTTGACAAATCCAGCAGTTTTGATTGATTGCAGCTGCCAGATGAGAAGCCGGCAAAGCCAAGGTTTGCGGCAGCTGTAGCCTTCTTCTCTGTCGATGGAAGGGACGCTGGCCCTCGGATACCTTGTTTCATAGTGCCCGCCACCTTAGGTGATGAGAGGGCCATATGTGTGTTATTAGTTAGAGCTGCTTTCCACTAAGGAGAAAGCCGGGGATGGGAATTGATGCACAAGTAGAGCCAAAACTACCGTTGGCCGTTACCAGCTCCTGCAAAATGTTAGAAAGTGTATAATTCCAGGATTTCACTCACAGAGAGCTAGTCCAGCTGACTGAGGAGTTGACGCAGTTCACCTCCTCCTGAGCTGGTGCATTTCCTTTCTCCAAGCTCGGACCTTCTGCTGAACTTCCATCAGACTGACCCCTAAAGTATTTCGCACAGATTCTGTGATCACCTTCTATAAAAATGTCGACACTTGCCCCTAGTTCCTCGAGTCTGCTACCACTCCCTCCCTTCTGAGAACCCCTTCTCCCTGAAAAGACAGAGCCTAGCAGGACCTGGTTTCGAAAGGTTGTGGCAGGGTTCCTTCGGTGTTTTCAGAGCAAGCACCAGAAGCATCAGGCCTTCGAAGCAGAACTGCACGCCAATGCGGACCGGATTCGAGGAGTTATCGACATGGGCAACTCCCTCATTGACCGCGGGGCCTGTGCCGGCAGCGAGGACGCCGTCAAGGTACGCCGTCCCCCAGCTCCCCTCCTCCTGGCCCGGGAAGAAGAGGGGGCTGGATTTGACTTTCAGCATTGTCGTCAGCTTGATGATGACTCTGGAATGCAGTCTTAGGAGAATAAACACAAGACTTCTGGCTGCATTGCTGAGGGGATGCTAGCGAGAGTGGCTCCTGTGAGCATCTTCCGCCCTCCTCTGTGAGGGGCGTCAGGTCGGCTTCCAGAGAGGGCGCTGACCGTGGAGTTGGCCGTCTCCAACGGCTCTCTTCTCTTGCCCAGGCCCGGCTGGCCGCCTTAGCTGACCAGTGGCAGTTCCTGGTGCAGAAGTCGGCTGAGAAGAGCCAGAAGCTGAAAGAAGCCAACAAGCAGCAGAACTTCAACACGGGGATCAAGGACTTTGACTTCTGGCTCTCTGAGGTGAGGCCACGGGGCTTCCCTTCCCCACTGGAGGGTTCCGTGGAAAGGCAGGGCTCTCCCGACGTCCCTTTTAACAGAAATCATCATCAGGTGTGAGCTGTGTACTCTGAGGGGTTTGTAGTCAGAGGGAGGGAATGTTTACAGAAGAGAGAGCTTATCTCTGGTTGGGCATGGGTCGCTTGTTTCCACAGGAAAATGCAAACGGGAGTGGGTGGTGGGGTCTGTGTGCAGGCCGCTCTCACGGTGCCCAGATAGAAACCAGAACAGCAAAGAGCCCGGAGGCCAGAGTTAGTCCTGCGGTCTCTGTAGACTGTTCAGAGAGTACAGAAAGTAAAAAGAAATTTAAAAATCGTAAAGACCACTATTCTGTATCTATCTGGTCTACACCTATTTCCGTGACTTTTTGTGTAACTGTTCTTTTATGTGTATTTGAGCTCGTGACGTAATTTTTCATCAGTACATATTGGTGGTGTTATTTCAAGTCATGAAAAGTCTTCCTGAACATTAGAGTAACTGCCTTAGACCATCACAGAGTTAGGCCGTAATTTAACCATATTCCCGTACTGTTGGCCACGCTGGTGCTCCCAGCTTTGGGGGATACGTTTTGCTGCAGTGAACACCTCTGTACATTAGTCTTTGCCCAAGCTGCTGCCTCTCTGCCCAGGGGAGGGTCCACGCCAAGCCGGCACAGCAGCAGCGTGTGGTGGGGAAGTTTGCAGCTGTCCAGACGGGGGAGCCTGGGGGACGAGTGGGCATCCTGGGTCTGCCAAGACAAGGGATGCACTCCAGACGTCAGCCTTCCCTTTCATGTTTTCATTGCCAGGTGGAAGCCCTGCTGGCCTCTGAGGATTATGGCAAAGACCTGGCTTCTGTGAACAACCTGCTAAAAAAACATCAACTGCTGGAGGCGGACATCTCTGCCCATGAGGTAAGCAGAGGGGGCGCCAGGCCGGGCTTGGGACACGGCCACACGTGACTCTAAGGCACCTGGCGCATTCGGGGAAGGACAGTGATGTTCATCCCTTAAAGCCAAGGTGCTCAAACGCTGTGGGCTTGGGGCCATTTTGTACTCTGAACTGTTATTGAGAGCCCCTAGGAGAGTTAGTTATGTAGGTTTTATCTGTTGGTATTTGCCATTATTAAAAATTAAATTTTTAGAGTTAAATTTTTTAAAACAATTCCAAAAAAATTTAAAAATAATTTCAAAAGGTTACCTAGGGCTTCCCTGGTGGCGCAGTGCTTGAGAGTCCGCCTGCCGATGCAGGAGACGCGGG